AACCCCAAACCCTAAACCCGACACACCCCAAACCCTTGACCCGTCACAAATACATAGCTTGGTCGTGAAAGTGGCGGTCTAGCTCACCACGCACCTACAGGAATCCTAATGTTAGATCGCCTACAGGATGATCGAGAGACACAATCGACCGGAGTCGCCAGAGCAAGCCGCACCGAACAGAACACCGTGATTGCAGTGATCGCAATCCGAGCAGGTTGAGGGGTTTAGGGTTTACGGGTTTAGGGTTTAGGGGTTTGGGGTTTAGGGAAAAGCATCAACAACAAAGACTGATACACACGATTTCATGATGATCGCCAGAATAAGAACAAGAGTCTTCGGCAAGAGTAATGCTGGTATTACTACGAGTATCAGTCAATCTATAACGTCCAAAGCTGAGTACATTTATGATTTCGCATCCGAGCCACCAAGACAAAACAAAGCTACGGTTTAAAGATTTACCTTTCAAGATACGGTGACTTCCAAACCAAAACGAAATACTCCGAGCGTCGGTCACTTAATTAAAGGCACGAATGTGGTCTAGTGCTCGAAGTTTTACCTTACGCCAGGTACCATCAGGTACCCTACGCCCTAAACCCTGGAGCTAAACAAGTCATTTGTGATCCCTGAAACAGTCTGCAGCCCTTGTCTCCACCAAAATGTGTCTAAGCTGACACTGACACAAGATCGGGAAGGCCGATGCGCTCCCCAACAAAAAGATCGATGCTGAACTTCTATAGTTCCCTTACTGTAGAGCCCTAACGGGAACCTTAAAGGAACCCTGCAAGGAACCTCAAAGGAACGAAGCCTTCAAGGAAACCTTAAACCCCTAAACTCTAAACCCTAAACCCTAAACCGTAAACCCTAAACCCTAAACCTTAACGGAACCTTGGAGTAAGCCTTAACGGAAGGAGCCGAGGGCCCAGCACCGAGTCCTTGTAGACGCTGTCATCACCGCCTGCCCATGGGTTTGATATCTTTGAGGAGCCGCTAGGGTTTAGGGTTTAGGGTTTAGGGTTTAGGGTTTAGGGTTTAGGGTTTAGGGTTTAGGGTTTAGGGTTTTAGGGTTTGGGTTTGATCTCTTTGAGGAGCCGCCGGTTCTGGGGTTTTGGGGTTTTCGGGTTTTGGGGTTTAGGGGTTTTGGGGTTTTGGGGGTTTGGGGGTTTAGGGGAAGAAGGGTATCGGGTTTAAGGGTTTAGGGATTCAGTGTTTCGGGCTTAGGGGGTTTTAGGGCGAAGGCCATAGCCCCTAACCCTAAACCTTAAACCCCAAACCTTACACCCTAAGCCCTACAGAGCCCTGTACCAGGAATGCACAAATCGCCTCCCTTCTGCTTCTTCTTCTCCTTCTTCTCGGTGGCCTGCACCTCGGGGTCGGCTACAGGTGCGGCATCCCTTCAGGGAACCCTCTTTAAAGGGTTTAGGGCTTAGGGCTTAGGGTGGTCTAGGGCTTAGGGTTTAGGGCTTAGGGCTTAGGGTTTAGGGTTTAGGGTTTAGGGTCCTATTCTGACAGGGCTTGGACTGGTTTGGGGAGCAGAGCCTGGGTCGGAGCACAGACTCCGTATCTCGAAGACGTTCAACTCTCCCATTCGGGATTGCGGAGCTCTGCGCCCTGAACCTTAGGGTTTAGGGTTCAGGGGTTTAGGGTTTAGGGATTTGGGGTTTATTGGTTTAGGGGTTTAGGGGTGCAAAGTCCATAGAGGAAGAAAAGCAGTTTGCAATCTCATTGCCATCTCTAAACCGCCTCCGAAACCACTCCAGAAAGACCAATGCCCGGAAACCTTGAACCGGAGACCTCCAAAACCCTGAACCCCCAACAAACACTCGGAGCTCAAAAAACACCTCAACCAAAAAACCCTAAAAGGGTTTCGGGTCTGGGGTATTGTTTGGGACTTGGGGTTTTAGAGTTTAGCGTCTAGGACTTAGGGCCTTTAAGGGTTTAGGGTTATTGAGGTTTAAGGGTTCTAAACCCTAAATGTAGCACCACACACTAAACCTCTAGGGTTTAGGGTTTAAGGTTTAGGGGTTCTAAACCCTAAACCCTAAACCCTAAACCCTAAACCCTAAAAAACCCTAAACCCTTAACCCGAAATGGAGCCCGCCAAGGGCCGCGCTCGCACAAGCACAGCGGCTCGGGGCTCTGCTGGGCGCCTGCGGCCGCGGATTCGGTTCGCCGGGGGGGGAGGTTGGGCGGTTTCGGATTTAGGGCTTAAGGGTTTA